ATTTTGTCATGCTTGGATTCACAATAAATGCTCATGGAAGCAGCAGTCAAGAGATCAAAAGATGTACTGCCTTAAGTAAAATTGCTGCACAGGACCTCTTTAGAGTACTGGAAAGCATGGAAGTTATTTTGAAGACTAACGTGTGCCTGTCCCAAGCCACGGTATTCTCCATTGCATCATGAGCATGTGAAAGTTAGACATTCAATAAGGAAGACCACGGAAGAATTGTGGTGCTAGAGAAGAATATTGAAAGTACCATGGACCACTAAAAGGGCAAATGGACCTATATTGGAAGAAATGCGGCCAGAGTGCTCCTCATAGGCAAGGCTGGCAAGACTTCAAAGTCTTACATACTTTGGACATGTTATCAGGAAAGACCAGTCCCTAGAGAAGGATACCATGATTTGCAAAGAGGAAGACCTTCAGCTACATGAGTGACACAGTGGCTGCAGCCAAAGGCTCAGACATAGAAACAATTGTGAGGGCCGTGCAGGGTTTCGTTCTGTGGGGCACAGGGTCAGGATGGGTCGGAGCTGACTCGATGGCACCCAACAACAATATAACAGAACTGAGATCAGAGGGGCAAGACATCTAAGGAGAATGTGACGCAGAGATCCCTAACCTAGTAATTAATTTTTTCCTTCTTCAAATATGCTTCCTGAGAATCATGGGGGGGGGGGATGATCAGATATTCAAACTAGATTGTTATTACATTTTTAAAATATTAACCATATATGATCAAGGTTGTTTGGCTTGTTTTCTATTTTTTGATAATTTGCTGTTCCAACTCATGAGCAAATATGTTTTTACTTTAGAGCACTGGAGTACCAGGACTATAACGGCTATCTTATACATGCTCCCATTTTTCTTTTCATTTTAAAGTAAAATTAAGAGGGTATTTTACAGATTCATTTGGGTAAGCGGTGGTGGCGGTAGTGGTGGTGTTCATTGCCATTGGACTGGGTCAGACTCACTGCAGTCCTATGCACAACACAACGAAACTCTGGCCACAGGGAGGTCCCGTCAGCTACACAAGCATCACGGTATGAGAGATTCAGTGTGGGAAAGTTGGCAAGGTAAAGTTATCTCTCCTCCCATGAGCACCTTTACACTCAGATGAGAAGAGTATAAACTTTCCTTTTTGTACGGCTTTTTTTCTTTTTAAAGGAGCCTACGAACTGCAGAGTGAGCAGTTTGAAACCACCTGCTGCTTTCAGAAGAAAGACAAGACTTCCTACTCTCCTAAAGAGTTAGTCTTCGAAACCCGTAGGGGCAATTCTACCCTGTTGTCAAGGACTCAATGGCAGTGGTGTGAGATAAGACATTTTAATGTGAGCACGCCATAAGACAGAGAACACAGAAATTACATGCAGGGTTTTATGGCTTTCTGTTTAGACAACAGTTTTGTTTTATTTGTTTTCATCTGAAACTTTCCCACATGCCCTACTACACAGAAGAAATAAAAGCAGCTCTTTTGCCTTCCCTGCCGTTTTAAGTTTTCTCTGTCGGGCACAATTGTCTTGGGAAGGCCAGCAGATCTCTGGGAACCTTCCTGCTTCTCAGAACCTAGGCCCAAGGCATGATGGCAATTTGAAAGTATTTTACGTTCTAATGTCTCCACATGACTGGGAACTCATGACTACGATTAGGTTCATATTTCATAGTATTGATGAAAAACAACAATCGTGTTGAAAAGAATAAAAGTTAGACTGTTCGTACACTAGAGAGAGATCTGGCTGTCGGCCGACCACGGGCATCAGTGGAAACACGGCCAGGAGCAAAGAGAAGGAAGTCCAACTCAGCGAAGTAACCTATGAGGGAGAAAGGGGCAATTTTAGATAAACACCATACAAAAACCCTCGGTGTTTCACAGACAACCCAGCTATTAAACTCAAAGGTAAAGGCAAAAACCTTTCAACTGTTTACTTGAAAGTAATCATACTATTTATGGATGCCTGGCATATACTAACAGGAGCTCTGGTGACACTGCCAGGTAAGCATTGGACTGCTAACTGCAAGATTGGTGGTTCATACCTACCAACCAGCTAGTCCATGGGAGCAAAATCTTCTCCCACAAAGGTTTGCCACCTCACAAGCCTTACATAGTGTGGCTATGGGTCAAAATCAACTCAATGGCAGTGGGGGGTTATCATAGATACACACTTTTCAGAGAGAAATGGCTGAATTATTAAAGAGCTGGGGAGGTTGTGCAGGGCCAGGAGTAGGTGACCCCTCTGCCCACAGCACGGCCGCCTCTGCCCACAGAAGGGTCATCTACATGACCTCCCTGCTTGGGACTTCTCTGGGCAGTTCCTCGGCTGCTCCAAAGTCAAGGTAACTGGGGTTTGAGAAACTCGAGGAGTGCTTCAGATGGACACATTAGCTCTGCTTCGACAAGGGGGCTGCAAACATTCATGGAAGAATGGAATGCAGAGACAGTGGGATTTTTCCAGGAGCACTTTGAAGCCCCCTCGTGTCGTATTGCAATCGCCACATCACTGGCTCATTTTGCCAAGAAGCCCGTGAGCCGGGGAAACTTCTCAAGGTGCTCAGTGCTCCTGTCAGAAGGGGCAGGCTCCTTGCCTAAGGACACTTTCTCCTCCCCCTTGGCTGGAGAAACAGACATTTTCTTGAATTCAACACACACGCAAACCAAGTCGCTGCTGGTCTGTCCGGAGACAAGATCAGAACAGGTACCTTTGCTCGAGTCCACAGCGGCGTGAAAAACGGCCAAATGGCAAACCCGACAAGCCCGGCAGTGAGCACGCGGCGGTAGAAGAAACTGAGAACCTGGAGATGCGGGCAAAGGAGAAAGGCCAGGTGAGCTCCCTGAGCCCTGGTTTCCCGGGGCGACAGAGATGCTGCAGCCTGGTGGTGACTCACCAAGACTTCAATTCCCAAGGCAAAGAGGACCAGAGAGCCAGCCAGACGACTCAGCGGGAAGGCCAACAGTGACGCGACCAGGTCTTGAATGACTTGAACCCTGTTGAACAGATTGCAGAGATGGGCTGCTATGCTCTACACGGGAAAAACTGTAAGGTACATATTACGTAAAACACAAAACAAACTCACAGTCATCGAGTTGATGTCAACTCATAGTGACCCTATCGGACAAAGGAGGACTGCCCCTGTGGGTTTCCTGAACGGTGACTCTTTACAGCAGTGGTTCTCAACCTCCCTAATGCCGCGTGACCCTTTAATACAGTCCCTCATGTCGTGGTGACCCCTCCACCCTAAAATTATTTACGTTACTTCTTCATAACTGTAATTTTGCTACTGTTATAAGCTGGGCAATGCCTGTGAAAGGGTCATTCGACTCTGAAAGGGGTCGCGACCCACAGGTTGGGAACCACGGCTCTCTGGGACTAGAAATCCCCGTCTTCCTCTGCAGTTATCAGCCCAGTGAGTTATCACCACACCACCAGGCTCCCTCAGATTATATGTAGCAAAGAAGAAGGATTTTGAGCAAATCTAGAAACCAGGGAATTTTAAATTTATGGATTATTCAAACATGAAGATACACCCTAATATACTTGTTTTATGGACCTGACTTTGTTTTAGAAATCTGAACATATTTTAGAAAAATTTTAATTTAAAAAAAAATCATTTTATTAGGGGCTCACACAACTCTTATCACAATCCATACATACAAAAATTTTCATTTCTGAATTCATTTGATAATGATTACAAAGGCTCATTTGATTCTTATCAACAGTAATGGCAATAAATGAGTCTTGTTTGATCTTAGCTTAAGTGTAGACATGAGCAAGTGTAGAGATGTGCACAACAGATGGACTATCAGAAAGAAAATACAATGAACCCACAAGCTGGCAAATTGGAAGCTAAAGGGGAAAATTTCACCAATATTTACCTTATATTGAAATCTTACCAGTTTGAATGTAATTAGATTTTACTAATTTAAGCAGGGAGTGCTTTAATTTCCCTTGTCCACCAAGTTAAATAACTTTTTGTAAGACATCACAAATTGTACCCTAACTGTAATTAAATGTAAATTCAGAAGACTTTAAAATGTATGATGTACTTAACTTCTGCAATTGCTGCATATTATTAAATGAGCAATTATAAAACATCAGTATCATTTGGTTTCAGACCTTTCTGTAATTAAAAAGAATGGCGACATAATTACATAATGGTATCAAAGTTATTAAGATACCACAAAGAGAAAGAATTCTGCCACCAGTCAGAAAGGGAATGTTTCTTTTGTTCTCAACAGCAAATAAGCACAGAGGAATAAGAAAGGATTTCATAAAATCAAGCAGGAGATTTTTTTTTTCCCCTAGAGGAAACTTAGTTTTATTTTTAATTTTCTATATACTGTATTGTAAAAGTAAAGATAGACCAAATATATATAATAATAATATATAATATAATAATAAAGCTTCCTGGGGTGTAGGCTGGGGGAAGAGGGGATAAAGGGAAGATGATGTCAAAGAGTTTAAGAAGAAAGTGTTTCGAAACAGATGGTAACAATTGTACAATTCTGCTTGATCTAATTGAATTATGAACTATTATAATATCTGTAAGAGCTCCCAATAAAATGATTAATAAAAAAATGGGGGGGGGAGTAAACATAGAAAACAAGGTACTTTCTAAATGTGATTTTCCTTGAGATGGAAACCTCTCTTCATCATTAGAACAGTTTCCCTGGAGACTGAAACATCATCTCTATCATGAAAACAGTTAAAAGTTCAGGAGGAGTCCATAGAGGGATAGAATTTTCAAAAATGATAGGACCTTTCTTTCGAGAAAAGTAAAATTATGAGTGAAAAACAACAGAAAAGCACCTGAGTCAAATATGCAAACCCACCACCCTATTCCTCTAACTCAGTGGTTCTCAACCTTCCTAATGCCGTGGGCCTTTCATACAGCTCCTCGTGTGGTGGTGATTCCCCAACCAGAAAATTATTTTCATTGCTACTGTTATGAATCGGGCAACCCCTGTAAAAGGGTCGTTCGACCCCCAGGTTGAGAACCACTGCTCTAACTGGAGCAGCAGCACTACATTTTTTCTCAGTGTTGTGTTTTGCCTTCTCTTTAAAATGGTAAACATTTGACACATTTTAATAGTAATTTTATTTTTTACATAACTTTTAATTGCTGAAGTGAACAGCAACAAAAGAAGCTGGAGTTAGAAAAAATCAGGATAAACAATAGACACCATGTCATAAAGCACACAGAACAAAAACTCTCACTGCCATCCAGTCGATTTGACTCCTAGTGATCCCATAGGAGTCTGCTATAGAACTGCCCGTGCGCTTCCCAGGCTGTGACTCTACAGCTACAGAGAGCCTCATCCTCCTTTCACAGAGGGGCTGGTAGTTTGAAGTGCTGACTTTGTGGTTAGGAGGCCAATGCAAAACCCATGATGCTACCAGGGATCCTATGTATAGAGTAGTCAGCCTTCAAAACACCCTTATTTTGGCCTCTGAGTCCTAGGGTGTGTGTAGGGGTGTGGTTTTCTCAAACATCTTTGACATCCAAAACTAATCTTAGAACTCTAGATTAATGAGACAAATAGAGAAACCAACAAGATCTCCATTATGACCCCGGGTCCCTGCAAATACCACCAGGACCATGCTGTTATTATATGCTACCATCTAGAAGCCCCCAATGCCGGGGGGGGCCCTCATGTACCAGGAAAGGAAATGCTGCCTGATCCACTACCCTTCCCATGGTAGGTCTGGGATCAGATGGCTGTCTCCAGGCCTTCCTGCCTCAGTCTGGAAGCTCTGCTAGCATCTGCTCAGGTGGGTGCTGCTGGAGTCAAAGCTGGGGCCCCCTCAGGGAAGGCAGGAACTCTTTCCCAGTAGCACCCACGCTCTAGGGGGGCGGGGTTTACAGAGAGCTTGGAGCTCACCATTTCTGTACTTACTCATTATTTTAAAGATTAATTCTAAAGAAGTCATTTGTTCAGCTAGACATAACAGCTAGAAAAAGGTAGGTCAAAGTGTATGGAAAGAAAATACGTGAATCTCTAAAAAACATTCTGCTTCAATTGGAATGATAACACAAATTCAAAATGTAAAGGCATAACCAAACCAAAACACAGACCCATTGCCCTGGAGTTGAATTCTAATTTAATTCACAGCAACCCCACAGGGCAGGGCGGGACTGCCCCATAGAGTGTCTAAGGTTGTCATTTCTACAGAGGCGAACTACCACATCTTGATGGGTTAGTGGGAGGGTGCTTAACCACCACATCACCAGGGCTCCTTACCATAGGCAAAATATAGTCAGTGTTAATTCTTTGACTTTTATTCACAATTTTTCTTGTATAAGAAATGCTGAGAAGGCACAAGGCCACTGCTACCTGCAGGCAATAAAGGAGTTCCAAAGGAAAGCTCAACCAAAACCCAGGCTCGCATACAACGTGATCTTTATACCTCCATGAATTAAGGGCTTGGCAAGCTGAGAAGATCATGAATACGACGTTCATTACTATGCTACAGAAAGCCAGTCTATTTTAAATACAGACTTAAGTGTAAATGAAGTGACAAACCGAGGTAGCAGGATGCATGACTTACTCTCTTAGAACCGCATACCATATGGGCACCGGCAGCAAACAGTAGACGTAGTAAGTCCAGGGACAGGCTTGAAGCAGCAGGAAAAATGCCACTAAAATGCCAATAGCTACAAAACTGCATGGCAGCAGGCGGCTTGGTTTCTGAAAATCAAAGAAAACATTGAAACTGTTCCAGACTCATGCTAATTGACAGATTTTTAAAAAAGGGATTTTATAAAGTGAAAACAATGCATTACTTTCTTCCAAAGGCTCTACAAGTACATAATTAAGATTTTTATTCATCTTTTTTTAACAAAAATCTAAGATCTGTCATTTGAGGAGAGAGAGCTGAATCACATCGAAGTTCTGCGATTAGTAACTATCAGTGAAAAGTGCCCCGTGATCTCAGTGGGTTTGCCAGTGCCTGCTGCAGAACTCTGAACCCGTTTCTCCTTAAAAACAGTTTTAACAGTTCTTAAACGCTTCCTCCCCGCAACTACCAGGACCCCAATTCTGCCTTGCAGACCTGGTTAGA